AATCCCTTCATGAGCATCACATCCACCTCTTCTGTTGTCCAGCGGTGGAAACTGAGGCCCAGATAGGGAAGTGACTTGTCCACGGTCACAAAGCTCGCTAGGGACCGAGTGGAGGCCAGAGCCCATGGCTGCTGACCCCTGAGTAAGAGTCCCTGTTGCTCCTCCCTCCCCTCCCCTCCCCTCCCCTCCCCGCTCCTCTCTGGCTTTTCAGGTGGGCATTTTGGCTCGGAGCTGAGGGCTGCAGGAGCTACGCGCTACAAGCAGGTTCCTTCTCTTGTGGTCCCTGATATAACTGTACGCGTGGCTCCTTCTGCGGAGACGTCTGGTGGTGGCCACAGCGCGGCAGCCACTCAGTGATTCTTCTCATCATTGATGTTTCCATCTCTCCCTCTCCCTTCCTCTCTGAAATCAATAAATATATATTTTTTATTTGTTATTTTTTAAAAGGTCTCACACATTTATTACTGAACCAACCTACTATTGCAGGGGAAAAAAATCAACAGAGCAAAATCACAAGTCCATTAATCTTCCAATTAAAATGCCCCAACTGTCCAGACAGTAGCATCTTGTCAATCATTTAAGGGTGTAGGCAACCTGGATACAGCATAAATACGTGAGTCATCTCTCACGTGTGATTTCTCCTAGGCCCAGTTTGGTTCTTCTCCAATGTGTCCTCTTCGAGTTGTACCTGATTTTATTATCAGTTTTCATCTGAATCCATTGGGGACGGGCCGATTCTGCTTTTGTGTCTTGGCCAGGAACCTCTTGATCCTGAAAGTCTTGTGGGAAGAGATGGTGAACGAGGAGGGAACGCACGCACCTCGATGGCGGAGAAAAAGCAAAATATATTTTTTAAAAATAAATAAACATCAACCTTTATCACTAAGATTGTTAAAAAACAGTCAAATGAAACCAGTAAATGACTCTTTTAAAAAATATGTATATTTATTGATTTCAGAGAGGAAGGGAGAGGGAGAGATAGAAACATCAATGATGAGAGAGGATCACTGAGTGGCTGCCTCCTGCACACCCCACACTGGGGATGGAGCCCGTACGCAACCTGGGCATGTTCCCTGACTGGGAATTGAACCATGACCTCCCGGTTCATAGGTTGATGCTCAACTGTGGAGCCACGCCAGCCAGGCATATGTACAATAATTTTTAAATATATATATATATATATTTGATTTTTTGCAGAGAGGAAGGGAGAGGGATAGAGAGTTAGAAACATCGATGAGAGAGAAACATCAATCAGCTGCCTCCTGCACACACCCTACTGGGGATGTGCCCGCAACCAAGGTACATGCCCTTGACCGGAATCGAACCTGGGACCCTTCAGTCCGCAGGCCGACGCTCTATCCACTGAGCCAAACCTGTTAGGGCTGTGCAATAATTTTTGATAAATACTAGGGCAAATCTCTTAACTAGAATGAGCTTCCGTTGTCTCATTTTTAAGTAGGGGTAGTAGTGTTTATGTCATATGATTGAGAAAAGGCCTGGCACATAGTAACTGCTGAATCAATATCATCTATTAGCCATCTGGAGGGAGAGACATGAATGGATAATTATAGTGTAGGGTAAGATGCTGTGATATCGTGGGTACAGGGTGTATCAGGAACAAAGAAAACAGAGATCTAAGTCAGACGGGGTGGGGAGTCAGGGCAGGCTCACGGGCGGAGACTCGACAAGCGAGGTGTTACAGTGCAAGTTGGAGCTTGTTTCACAGGCGAAAGCTGGGTGGGAGTCTCAGGCAGGGGAGCAACAGGTGGGTGCATAGGTAGAGCCAGTGACAGCTCACACCCGAGCCCCCTGCAGGAGTTCATGTATTTCATGTTCTCGCTTCAGTTTTGGGACGAAGTCGCTCGTGCTCGACTTCTTAGCTGTCTTGTCTCATTGCCTGTCTCCCAGGAGAATGAATGCTCTTTGAGAGCAGGCTCCGTTTTGTTTACTGTTGCATCTCTAGCGGCACCTGGCGCATTTTGGACATTAAATACATGTTGAATGAATGCATGAATGAATGAACGAATAAATAGGCTTCATTCCCATGAGCTCCCCAAAGATTTCCCCTCTTCTCTTTCCCTGTTGTGCTGCTTCCTTACCACCCCCACTCCCTTCTGTCCCTTATCTGCAGGTCCATTGCCCCAGAAGCAATGG